AGTAGTAGTAATGACAACTACTACAACAACAATAATAATAATTTTAGACAGCTAGGAGGTGAAGCAGGTGGAGCACTAGCTAGATTTCTTTCTTAAAAACCAGGTCTTAACCCCAATTCACTCTGACTCTCATTGATTGGGCAACAATGGATCCCAACCTAAGTATCACTCAGAGGTCTTTGTTTGGGTCCTGAGGGTTCAGAGTGAAAGTAAACAGTAATTGCTTCAGTTTGGGCCAGAAACACTCAGGATCTTCCCCTCCCAGATTGATCGTTCTGTTTATTTGTTTGGTTAGATAAAAAGGGGCATTCCTTGGCTCATTTCTAAACCTGCCTTAATCCCTGAATGGGCATTGCCTCAAAGTGAGAACTCATGAAAGATTTTAGCTTAAAAAGCCCACGGTCCCCCACTGCATCCTGGCCATCTCCAGTCTTCCTGACCTATATCTTGTCAATGGGTCCAGGTAGAAATATCTAGCATGTAACTAGTTACACTAGCACTGTAACTTGAAAGAGAGATGAGATATAGTTGTATATATAACACATACATACATATATATATATATAGAGAGAGAGAGATGTGATATAGATAGATAGATAGATAGATAGATAGATAGATAGATAGATAGATATGGGTGTGTGTATGGGTGTGTGTGCATATATATATATATATATATATATATATATATATATATGCACACACACCCATACACACACACACACCCATATATATCACACTTATATATATGTGTGTGTGCACATACACACACACACACAGATTAGACGTATGTAGATTTAGGAATGCTCATTGTACCTTCTACATAGTCTTCAATAAACCTTTATTGATAGCAATGAAATATTAGAACCAAACCCAGGTCAGTTCTGCTACTGAACGGTAAATAAAATGAAAAAAGTATCAAATCAACATTGCAAGTCAACATATGATATGAATGCACCATCAAAAACACCTATATTATTTTCTAAAAGAAAATAATCATCAAAATGGGGAGAGAAATTAAGTAGATTATGTTTAAAAGAAACACCAATCATAGGCAACTTGCTTAACTTCTCTGCATCTCAACTATTCATTTGTAACACTGAGATAATGTCTACAGTATCTATCTCCCAGAGCTGTTGTGACACTCAAATGAGTCAATGTAGTAAATCACTTTTCAAACATTAAAATACTATAGAAATCCTTGTAATGATAATTGTCATTGTCGCCTTCAACATCATCATCTTCACCACCATCATCATCCATAGTAGTGATGGTATGTTCTAAGGACCTACAAGGCCACAGTTTCCCCTGTAGCCTTTACCAACTACAGTACTGCTAAGTAATTGGCTTCTCTACAGTGAATTAAGAGAGGGACAGCTGAATGAACAGCTGAGTTTGATAGATGAATTAAAGTTGTAGGAGCCTAGGTGGTAGATGGCTTAATATACTATCCTTCTTCTCTCTACCCCACCCTCACCCAGAAACAAGGGGTGGAGTGGTGGGGGAGGGAGAAAAATTCAAATCTTGGCATAGTGACAAGTAAAAAGAAATTGAATTATATTAAGTTAATCTCCATTTGTTCACACACTCTCTCATCAATAAAAGATCACAAAGAATTTATAGGGTTACAAAGTTTCCATATCATCATACCCTAAGAATAGGAAAGAAAAATGATAAAGTTAAATGGTATAGTGGGGTCATGGCAAATGAATTCTAGCCATCCTCTCCATGAAAATCATATATATTTTTTTTTAGAGAGAGGTAGTTCAGCAAAGGGCATGTGTCTTTGGACGTGGGAAGACCTGAGTTCAAGTCCTGATTCTGAAATAGCATATATTGGCCATGTGACCATGGGCAAATCACTTAATTACTCAGTGTCCTATGGAACTAATAATATAAGTTGAAGATGATTTGTTGATATGCATTGGTGGAATACATTCCTGTACTAACAGATTCATAAGTTCAGATGGGATAAAAATATATTGTACTGATGGCAGTTGCTTTCATAAGGGGAATTGTTGCAACCATAAACCACAATTAGTTGTTACGCTTCATAATTGAAGAGGATAAAATGACATCAATATGTCAGAGTCAATGTACAGTCTGTCCAACTATTACTGGTCAGACCAATAAGATCAGAATTAGGGCTGAAGACCCGAGTATACAACACACCTGCTGCTTGAGGGGTAATGGATTTGAAATGAAAAATGAGATACATTTTTGGAGGTAATCAATGTGGAAATTTGTTTTGCTAGACTAGGTGTATAAGTTTATTGGGGTTTTCTTTTTATTGTTCAATGGGGGAGTAGAGGGAAAGATAAACACTTGCATAAATAAATAATAAATACATATAGAGAGGCAGATGATTAAGAGACAGAGAGATGAAAATTTCAGAGGTGGGAGTTCTCTTCTAGTTGGTTATAATAGAACCATATTATAAGTGTATATCAAAAAGACAAAATTTAGCCACCATTGCCCAATGGACTGTCAAAATAACAGTAGCCAAAGAAGAAAAAGTAAAGTGTAAATGAAGGATTTAAATACTAACTCAAAAATTTTTTCACAAGAAAACATGATAAGTAATCAGAATCAGAATCATATCCTTCATTTTATCTAAAAGCATTGTTATATAACTTTCAAATATAAATCACACAGAACTTTTAATTAGTAAATTATGTATAGAAAGGAAATAGTTAAGCCTCTTTGATATCATTTCATTTTTCAAGAGCAATCATCTCCATATTTCTGTGAAATATCTATTTCATAGGCCACCATGGTCAAAGAATTAATCACCTGGGGTCAACCAGGTACTCATTAGCCTCTCTGTGCTAGGCCTATCTTTGGAAATGAGCAATTAGCCTATCACTGAAGCCCAACTATAAGCCAGTTCATCTCGGTAGGTCCCCTGTCAGTTGAATTCAAACTCTAAGAAATTCTACCAATCTGGAAATGTTTCAGGTGACAGACTGGACCTACTGTTTGAGGATCAGCCTAGCTAACTACGTAAAGGGTCATCAGCAGCTGGTTGATTCCAGAGGATGAATTTTGTGGTCAAAAGTTTGAGAGCCCAGTGTCATTGCTACACCATGATGGGCCAGGACTTTTTTGGAGATAAATGGAGGCCTACCCCAGTTTTCTTCTTATTATTCATTGAAAAGTTTTTCCAATATGCAAAAACTTATCAGAAATTTTTTCATGCACTTATCCAAATTTTGACCTTTAAACAAATATTTAATTCACCATTTCGAATGAAAGTATCCCTGAAAGCAATATTTGGTTCAATTCCATAAAAATCAAGATTACATTTATATTATAGGGATGTAAAATTTTATTTACAGCATAGCTAATTTAGGGATTTTGTAAGTATCTCACTATTATAGCAGTCACCCAAGTGAGCCAATTATATTAATCAGCATTAGACTTTTGAATATTATATGTTTATATAACATCTATTTTTTATGTCTGTCTCAGATATTTTTTATCAATATTGAAATTTTTGCAGTTAGCTTTGAGCCGTTATTATTAGAGGATGAAAAGTTGAGAAAAAGATGAGAGTAAATATTTGTAGCTAAAATAATATTCAATACTCTCTAATGTGTTTCTTTTTTATTTACCCTTCAACTTAATAGCTTTGGTGGCTCTCACCTTCTCCATAAAACAAACTAAAATATACTTACTTCCAGAGATTCTTAATTGCCAAAAATAATTTGGCTCAAAGGAGCTCTAAAAGAAATGCACTTAATGTTCAGGACTGATGACCGTGTAGACCTTAATGACCACTGGTCCCTCTGGAAAAAAACCAGTAATTGGTTATTGCACCTACGGGTGTTAGATTCTACAAATGGTATATTATTGGGCTTAAAAAAGTCCTTAACATGTTTTTGCAGGAAATCTCTAATCAGATGTCTACTATCTTGCTGCCCCTGACAACTCAAAATTATTAAAGGAAGAGAATCAGATGAGTTGTCTCTGTGAAAGAATTGTCTTGAATCGTTGTAATTAAGTCAAAATATTGATTAAAAGGGAAAATACATTAATTTTCATTTCATCCTCAGAAAAGTCTTGGACAACACAAAGTAAAGACATGCCAAACCGGTACTTTGTACTGTGGCAGATCCAGGGTCCGCAGCACCAGATTTAGTATCAAAGGTCAAGATCTTTGACAATTAATACCAATGTGACCTTAGACAAGTCATTTACACTTCCTGAGTCTCAGTTTCCTCAATTGTAAAATGAAAGGTTTGGACTAGATGGCCCAGGAGGTCCCTTCCAGTTCTAAATCTATGATCTTTTGATACTTCCTCCTAAGGCCTTCCACTGATGCAGATTGCAACCCACTTTGCAGTTTCGTCCTGTGTGATCTTGATTCACATTTTCCCAGAAACTCACTACAGAGAATCTACCCAATGTGCTGGAGACTCTTCCATAGATTATTACTTGTTCTTGCTACATTAATAGTCTACTTGATTTTGTGGCCAAACACTTCTTTCAAGATAAGACACGATATGGTAAGAACATAATTTCATGTAAGAATAATTTCAGTAATTAATACTCTATTGTTCTACAAAAGTGAATCTTAGCAGGCTAATCAGACCTAAAACAAATATTTGTAGTACTATCTATGGATGACAATAAATAGCACAAATAATTAATATGCTTTTCATGATGACAAGTTTTAGGGTCAGAAGTCAGAAAGACCAGAGTTCAAATTTGGCCTCAGAAATTTACTAGCTGCATGACCCTGGGCAAGTCACTTAGCTCTGTTTGCCTCTATTTCCTCATCACAAAATGAGCTGGAAAGGAAATAGAAAATCACTCCAGTATCTTGGCCAAGAAAACCCCAAATGGGGTCACAAAGAGCTGGACACAACTGAACACAAGTGAACAACAAACTGTAGGGTGTCCCTACAGCTACAGCTACCTCTGTAGCTAAAAACTGGTGACTCATGAAAAGAATATGAAACAAAGACAAAGAGAAGCCATTAGGTCTAATCATGTTTTACCTCTGTAGCAGTGCTCTGATTAGCTCCATTTTCCAACAAATATTTCACTACATCAATGTGATTCTCTTGAGCCGCCATATATAGAGGAGTGAAGCCATTCTGAGGACAAAGAATAAAACAAATTTTAAAAATCTAGTTATTTTAATGCATTAACAAAGGTTTTTTTAAAAAAAAAAAGCTTTGTACCCCAAACTATAGACAAGAAATGAGATAAATGTGGAAAAGTATGTTTAAAAAGGTACAATTGTTCCATGTATACCTCTATGCTTGCATATACAAACTCATATAGCATAACTCTAAGCCCACTGCAAGCGAGTTAGTTTTAGCACACTCTTCTCAAGAAGGAAAAAAGAAGCGAGAAAAAACATGGTCCTTATTAGCTGTATTCATCTTGGAGTCTGAGAGTGTTTCTCTAAGATCTACATTTGTCTTCTTATTTTTATAAATAAGAGTGTTTTCCCACCCCTCCACATAATAAACCAGCAGCTCCTTCTTTCTCAGAAAGATATATAGGTAACAAATTATTACTCTTTAATACCACAATCATTACTTACCACATACAAGTCAATGAAAGGCAAAATTAATGTTTATTAAAAATAACATTTTAAATCTAGTAGAGCAGTTTACACTGAACACACTGTCATTCTTCCTAAATAAGAACACTAGTAAATTTCCTTTATTCTTAAGTGTTCTTCCATAAAATTTCCCCCAAAACTATGGGCCTTAAGTTTGGAACCAAATTCAAACTGCTTCCTACTTTTTTTTTTTTTTGGCAAAATATCATATCCTCATTCAAAAAGAGTTGACTTTACAAAAATGATTCATAGGACTCTCTGGAAACCTAATAATCCTTACCAAAAAGTACTGATGACTTAAGCATAAATAATTCAAAGACATATGGATAAAATTTCCCGTGTTATTCCCATGGGTTCACAAAATTAAGGGAAAACTCTGGCAAGTAATGAAGGTTTTTCAGAATCTAGATGGCTGGAAAAAAATAGCTTGAAATACTTTGTCAAAATGAAAATGCGTCTAGATTCACCTATTTTCTTTACCCCAAAGTAAAGAAACACAACAGGGTTTGGAATGAAATGGAGAACTCATTCAGTTGAAGAAAGAGCAGAAGGTCTGGTTATGAAGATTATTTAAAAAAAAAGGATATAAGAGAAGCTAGATGTTGAAAGAGAATATAGTCCTGTGGGGAGGAACCTGCAGCCTCGAAGCCATATGTGTGGCTTTGGGCCACATTTGAAAACCTAGGGGGCCACACGTGTCCTTGAGGCTGCACGTTTCCCACCCCTGGATTAGGCTGAGAGGTTTGGAGGTGAGAGCATTCACCTAAACCTGAGAAGTTAGAGAATGGATTAAAATAGATAGGATGAAAATAGTTAGGAGGAGGAAGAGCAGTAGCTAATAAATTAGCTAGTGAGAAATGTAAAACAAAAGGAAACAAGAACAACAAAAATCCCACCAGGTTATTTATTTAGAGAAATCTGAGAAAGTGACAGAAGGAAAGGATTAGAAAAATCCAAAAGATGGGTAAAATAAAAGTCAGTGAATATTGTGAAAAAGAATAAGTGTGTGTGAATGATGTTTGTTCACAAAGAAGAGTATAGCGATTCTGTAAGACAGTATGATCTTTTAATAGCCCAAATTAATCTGCTGCCTTGTCTTCTCTCAAAGGAGTTGTATAAACAGAATAAGAGGGAAAAATAACAGAAGTCGGCTGGTTGAGAGGGACAGAAAGTCAATGTTAGTGGGGGAGGGGAAACAAGAATCAGATCTCTCATAGGAGCACAGATTTAGAGCTGGAATGATCTTCAAAGGGCATCTAGTCTAATCCCATCAGTTTTCAGCTGAGGAAGTCCCATTTAGCAAATGACAGAGCTGAGATTTGCACCCAGGTTCTTTGACTCCAGAACCAGAGCTCTCTCTATTGGTATAAACACTGCCTTTCTCGGCAAAGACAAAATGTACAGAAAGGGTAATAAACCACACACACACACACACACACACACACACACACACACACACACACATACACACACACACACACCCCACATCTCAGTTGGATATTACCATGGCTATCACTCATAAAATGAATGATACAAAACTGGCAACACAGTTTTACTAAAAGTGACAAAAGAGAGGGAAGATGTCATTTATTTATTGTCATTGTTTAACAAGAGAAATGTCACTGGAGACCATAAAACATTTCTGCCTCTAGACAACTTGGATATGGCATGACAGTATTCTGGAAAAAAAAATCGTAAATTTTTTTATTTTATAGAACAGCATCAATCTTCACACATAGAACAAGGTACCAACATAGAATTTATTGGGATGAGTAGTTCTAGCCAGAAGTGTTGCCCAAAACACTATTTGAGGATTTGGGGCTGTTTTCCCCCCACTATTCTGGTCCTGGGCATATGAATTAAATATCCCCAGTGCTTTGAAATATATTTCTAAAAGCCATAGTAAATTCTCAATTATTTCACATGTCTTGTGTGGGGGCAATATTAAAGGAATATCAGTCTTCATGATTTAGTTAACACTGACATTAATTTTTAGGATAATTAAATAGCTATAACAGTCTTGTTTCTAGTTATGAAAATTATTGTGGCTGTATTTCAGAAGACTGCAATCCCACAAGTGTTTTAACAGGGGTGAGATGATCCGCTCGCTGCCAATAGCACTTGGAAGTTGTAGAGGTGAATCATACATCAGGGAGGGGAGGAGGATCATATGTCCTCCAACGTTCGTTCCAGCCCTAGGCATCTTTGATTCTAAGCTGAGGCTAATTAAAATTATTTCCTTAAATATAGCATCAATGCACAGCTGCAGAGCATGTAAAAGGCAATGAGTACCAATGAGTAGCTACAAAAATAAAGACCATTTTATCTGTTCTGGAGAAATAAATGGGGCAAGAAAACAAAAGATGAGATTATCCCTTTGCTTGGAACCACGGAGGCTTTTAATTAATGCACACGTGCATTTCCTCAGAGTAGCAGGAAATAATAAATGTCTGACCCCGGAAGGATGTTATCATTTACACACTGAAGGTTTCCTCCCTTCAATAGACAACATTTTACCTTGGTAACAAAATAGATAGAACTGTAACTGCTAATGGCAGGAATTCTTAACAAGTGGTCCATGGATACATTTCAGCAGGTAAGAGTATGGGAGCATGAACTTGAATGCATTTTTTTAAAAAATCTTTATTTTCATGAATTTCTAACTGAAATTGAGCATTTCCTTCAATTATTAAAATATTATTCTGAGAAGGGGTTCATAGACTCCACCAGGTTGCCAAAAGTGTTCATGATATTAAAAAGGTTATGATTCCCTAGCTAAATGTATTTCTAATATTCAAACCTGTTGTCGGAATCCCTCCATTCCCACTGCCCCAACCCAATTTCTCACATCTAAACTACTGAAAAAGACTTCTGTAATAATCTCCTTATTACTATTCTTTCCATGGTCTAGTATATCCTGCAACCCACCTCCAAAATCTTCCTAAATCATTGCTTTCAGCAACTGATTATTCTATAGCCTATCAGACCAAATTCAAATTCTTCAAGGCTCTACTTCTGTGAGTCTCACCTTATCTACATGATATTGTTTTCCTCTTCTACCCACTACTGCTTTAGCCTGAGAGTCTCACTAAGTCCCACCCTCATTCTGCCCACTCACTCCTATTTTCTGAGTATTTGCTTCTGCTATTTGTTTATCTCATATATGGCATGGTCACAAAGAAATTAAAAGCAAATGAATCACTCCCAAAGGCATAAATTCCAGCCATTATGTTTCCTTAGCACCAAGAAAGCCAAGTCACTGACCCTAGAGGGCTTACTTACCATTAAAGTTAAAACCTAAGATCTATCTGGGAAAGAAATTGTTAAAATTATGAAATTATTAATTACTGAAACAGAAATGTATTGTTTTATTAAAGAATTAATATTTTATGTGGAATGTTGTACTTTATCACTTTTCCCTTTCTTATGATACTAATCTATGTACATTGAAGAAAGGTGGCTCAGTGGTATTATTTTATTCTTTACACAAGGAAAGGTTTACTTTATATTTTTTTCTCCTTCAGACCAAATCCCTATGAGGAAACAAATAATGCAGTACCAGCCTTTTTTTTTTTTAACCATCTCTAAGTCAAGAAGTTCCTCTCTCACCGAGGGTCCTCTGAAATCCCACTCTTTTTGATAGCTGAGTGAACAGCTGCAAAGAGCCAATGAAGCAGCCCAGTAGCACTGAGGCCCACTCTGGGTTCTGGACCTTCACAAGTTAAATATAGACCATAATGGAATTGTGTTAATCCTGCTCAAAACAGGGGCACTGTTTTAATTTTCAATGATTCCCATCCTTTCCCACATAGGATTTTAAACAGCTTTGCTGCAGCCCACTCATTCCACTAGAACCATGGTCCCATAAAGGTTTTTGTAAAATTTTTTAAATGGAATGCTAACATCATCATTACCAGTTCATGTGTATTTCACAGAAAATTCATTGCTAGTTCAATTATTAGTGTTAAGCTATTTCAATAATGCAATGAAAGCACCATGCTATTTAAAATGTTAGCATAGATATCGCCTAATTAAGGCTTATGAGTTACTACAACTGTGCTCCCACCCTGCTTTCCACAACTGGGTGGATCTACTTTAATGGAGGAAAGAATGTGTTATAATTTTGTTTTTAAAGAAGTCAGTTTGGAAACAGAGCCATTAAAGCTTACACTAAACAGGGTGCAGAGTTAAGAGACTGATAAAATTCTCCTGTTGGAGGTTGGCTGCTTAACACTCCATGTAGTTGATGTTTTATTATGTATTTATGATGGAATAAAAGTGGAATCATCTTTTTGAAATGACATGACATTACATTGTATATTTATGCTGTTACAAAACTAAAACTTTTTAACATTGAACCACTTTCCAGAAATGGACAATGAACTTGACTCAATTCAACAAATATATGCTATGCAGTTGGGGGAATTACAAAATTTAGAGGTGGCATAGATCTTACCCTCATTGGAGTGATAGGGGCTAAGACCCATGAGGATATGGATAAGCTAAATATTAATACACAGTAAA